CATTTGCTTTATATACGTAGATGCTTCTGCATTAGGTGTGTAACTGTTTACAAGGGTTACATCCCATTGTTGAATTGATCCCTTTATCATTATGAAGTGTCCTTTGTCTCTTATTATAGTCTTTGTTTTACTATTGCTATTCCAGCTTTTTTTGTTTCTATTTGCATGAAATATCTTTTTCCATCCCTTTACTTTCAGTCTGTGTGTGTCTTTTGATCCAAAGTGGGCCTCTTGCAGACAACACAGGTCTTGTGTGGACCTTGTTTTCTTATCCATTCAACCACCATATGTCTTTTGATTGGTGCCTTTAATCCATTTACATTTAAGTGACTATTGATAGGTTCATAGTTATTGTCATTTTATTATTCATATTTATATTCCCCCCCTTCTTCCTCTTAAACAAGCTCCTGTAACATTTCTTTTAATACTGGTTTGGTAGTGATGAACTCTTTTAACTTTTTCTTGTTTGGGAAGCCCTTTATCTCTCCTCCGATTCTAAATGATAAGCCTTTATGGATAGAATAGTCTTGGTTGTAGATCCTTGCTTTTCCTCATTTTGAATATTTTGTGCCAATCCCTTCTTGCCTGCTAAGTTTCTGTATAGAAATCAGCTGACAGTCTTATGGGAGCTCCCTTGTAGATACCTTATTGCTCTTAAGATTCTCTCTTTGTCTTTAATCTTTAGCATTTTAATTATGCTGTGTCTTGGTGTGGGCCTCCTTCGGTCCATCTTGTTTGGGACTCTCTGTGCTTCCTAGACTTGTATATCTATTTCCTTCACTGGGTTAGGGAAGTTTTCAGTCATTATTTCTTCAAATAGCTTTTCAATCCCTTGTGCTCTCCCTCTTCTCCTTCTGGTACCTCTTTGATGTGAATGCTCATATGGTTGATGTTGTTCCAGAGGTCCCTTAAGTTATCCTCATTTTTTTTCATCTTAGAACTTGTTTGGTAATTTATTTTTAAATTATAATACTAGTGAAGAATCTCAATTCTACAGACAATTATAAAGTCTGGTATAACAAACATCCATTTTGTCTTCTTTACTTATCTTTCTTTATCCATTCACATACTTCCTCAGAGGTGACCACCTTTATCATGACTCAGTGTTTAAAAACATGCCTGAAGATATATAATTTTATTACACATTTTGTGTCCATAAACAGCATGTAATATTGTTCTCCATGGCTTATATATAAATGGTATTCTATTGTGCATCTTCCTTAACAGTGTTTGTGAGGGATGCCTATCCTCCTTTTTAAAAAATCTTTTTTCTGTTTCAACTGGGTGTTTTCCTCTACCTCACCTTCCAAATCATTGATCCAATCCTCCGCTTCACCTGATCTGCCATTGATTCCTTCTAGTATATTCTTATTTTCTGAGCAGTTCTTTTTTTGGTGTCTATGAACTTTTTTATGTTTACTATCTCTTTGTTGAAGTTACCACTTAGTTCATCTATTCCTCCTCTAAGTTCATTGAGTATCCTTATAACCAATGTATTGAACTATGCATCTGGTAGCTCGGTTGCCTCCATTTCATTCAGTTCTTTTTCTGGAATTTTCTCCATCTTTTTCCTTTTGGGTACATTTCTTTGTCTCATTTGGTCTGCATCTCTGTGATTGTTTCTATGTTTTAGGTAGATTTTCTACATCTCCCAATTTTGGCAGGGAGGCCTTACATAGGAGGTGTCCTGTGGTACAGTCTCCCTGGTCATCTAAGCCAGGTGCTTCAGGAGTGTCCCTTGTGTGGGTTGTGTGTGCCCTCCTGTTATGGTTGAACCTTGATTGATGTGGCATGTCAGAGTAGGGCTGACCCTCAGGCTGACTCCTTATGAGGACTGGCTACAACCACAGAGCAGGATTCACCCCAGCAGGGCTCTGGTGCCTGCTGAGACCACCCTCTGGGCATGCCTTTTGTGAAGACCATTAAGTGGTGCTCTCTTGTGGTCTGAAGCTGGCCACTGAGTGTGTTGGTTCTGGGGCCTCTTGGGAGGGGCTCAGGGATGGCCCAGGTCAGCTGCTGCCCTTACCTGGCCCAGGGCCACCTGATAGTAGCTACAAAGCAATCCGGTTGGTAGCTGCCTTTGATGGGCCGGAAGGCACATGGGAAAGGCCGCACTAAGAACTGAGGCTAGCTACTGCCAGTGGCAGACCTGGGGTGCTTAGCAGGAGGCACAGGGCACGTTAAGGCCTGTGGACTTTTGGTAGTTTTTAGGAAAGCATGCAGCACAGGCCAAGGCTGGCTGCATATGAGAAACAGCCCCTGGCCCTGGCTGCCGTGGCCCAGTGGACTGAGTGCCAACCTGTGAATTGGAAGGTCACAGGTTCGGTTCCCAGTTAGGGCACATGCCTGGGTTGCAGGCCAGGTTGCCAGTTAGGGGTGCAAGAGGCAACCACACATTGATGTTTTTCTCCCTCTCTTTCTCCCTCCGTTCCCCTCTCTCTAAAAATAAATAAAATATTTTTTTTTAGAAAAAAGAAGTTTGAATATTTGACTTTAAAATTTCAGGTTTCTTTCCTAAAACTGGAATATCTGATTACTCAGGGCCCCAGCCCCACTCTGCTTTTGGTGTTGGTTGCCTGGGCCTTTGAACATTTTTTCTACTGGGAGTAACATGCTCTGATGGGGGTCAGGTAGGCGGAGGGCAGCAGTTTACATTTTGGTCTAAGGAGTCACAAGACTTGGTTTTGAATTCCGACCCCATCATGGCCTTGCTGTGTGACTCAGAATTAATCATTCTCCTCTTTGAACTTCGTTTTTCCTTGGTAAGAGAGAGTCAGGGAAGTCCCTCCATTCTTCGCACACTCCAGAAGACGACTAGAAAAATGGTTCAAGATATGGAAGGTATTATCACTCTTCCGTTCTAGGAGACTTTAGACTGACTTCTTAGCAGAGGAACTATTCAAACACAATCTCATGCTGATTCGCAATCAGTAGGGCTGGAAAGGAGGGGTTTCCATTTCCTCCCTACTCCCTTGAACCCCCCAGAGGGCAGGCTGATGTCTGGTCACTAGTCTAACCCCCTCACTTTAACAGTAGTGGAAGTGACCAGAGGAAGTGTCTCTGAGGCCGCAGAGCACATTGCAGGCGCACAGCTCCCTTTCTCATACTCAGCTCTCCCAATCGACTGCCTTGCTGAATCCACTCCCCCATTGGCATGTGTGGAGCCGGGAGACTTAGAAATGCCAGGGTTTTTTGAGCTCTGTGCCAGGCACGGTTCTGAGCATTTTACCTGTTGCTAATGCTGGCCACCTGGATGTCCCGAGGGAGGTGGTGGTTGTGTTCACTGTGTAGAAAAGGAAACTGAAATTCCATATTTTCTCCAAGTCATACAGCTGGAAAGTGGGACGTAACCAACATCTCCCTGCCTCATCCTGAGGGTCCTGGTCTTGTCGGTGCCCCCAGGCTGGGGTCCCACTATCTCCCTTCTCTGTAGCTGTGTCTCTGTCCTAGTCCATATCTCTATTCCAGCCACACCAGCTTCCCTGCTGGCCCTCAAACCGAACCCTGCCCCAGGGATTTTGCACTTGCTGTTCCTTCCTCCAGGAGCGCTTCCTGCCACCTCCTGCCCCATGGCCTTCCTCCTCCTCTTTCCGGCCCTGCTCAGATGTTACCTCCTAAGACAGGCCTGCTTCAACCACAGCAGCTAAAGTCAGCTCTCCAGTAACCTGCAGTCATCCATCCAGTTTAATTCTCTGCAAGGCACAGTCCAATTCATGTATTCATTTATATATATTATGATTCATTCAGTAAATATTTGCTGTGTGTCCACTATGTGCCAGGCCATGCATGTTCTTGGCACAAGTGACACCGTAGTAAACAAAGCAGACAAATATCCCTGATCTGCAGCACTTCATTCTATAAGGGCAAGCAAACAGTACAGGAGTAAAATGTAGATTGTGTTCGGTAAGTAAGATTGTTGTAAGAAAGGGAAATAGGAAATATTAGGGCAGGGGTGGGAATTTTAGATGCGCGGGTCAGGGGAGGCTCTCCCGAGGAGTCAATATTTGAGCCGAGGCCTGAAGGAGGTGAAAGAGGAGCAACTGGAGACCTAGGCAGGATGAAGAGCCTGTGCAAAGGCCATGAGGCAGAAATCTGCGTGGAATGTTTAGGGAATAGTGAGAAAGCCTCAGTTGTGGTTGGAGCGCATGAGTGAAGACTAGAGTGAGAGGTCACGGGCAGGGCCTTGTGGTTGCAGTGATGACTTTGGCTTTTCCTCTGAGTAAGTCGGGGTCCAAAGAAGGTGCTGAGAAGAGGAGGGATGTGACCTGACTCAAGTGTTTACAGGCTCCTTTGGCTGCTGAGGGGGAAACAGATCTAGGGGCAAAGACAGGAGCCAGGATCCTGGCCGGGTCACTTGGTTGGTTGGAGGTCTGTCTTGTGCACCATATGTTGTAGGTTTGATACCCAGGTAGGGCACATACCTAGGTTGTGAGTTCAATCCCCAGTTGGGGCACATGGGTGGGACAGCTGATTGATGCTTCTCTCTCTTTTCCTCCCTCTCTCTAAAAAAAAGAAAGGAGCCAGGGACCAGGGCACGGGTGATGGTACTGGTTGAGGCAAGTGATCAGGGATGGTGGCCAACGAGAGGCTGCGAAGTGTACCAATTCTGAATAGATTTGGGCAGTGAGGCTGGTTTGAGGTGCTATGGGAAAAGTAGAGTCAAGAAGGACCCCACAACTTTTGGGGTATGCGCTGTTACTACGTTAACCGGTTTATAGTCCAGCCCTCCCCATGTCATCTCTGTGAGGGACAGGTCATGTTCTGTCTCGATCACTGCTGTATCCCTCACACCTACACCAGGGCCTGGCTTACAAAGTCTCTCAGTAACTGTGTGATCTCTGCAATTCTTTGTCTCCCAGCTCTTTCAGGGTGTCTCTCTCTCTCAGTGCCCTTTATCTGCCCCTCCCCTCTGCCAGGAATTCCCTTGGCGCCCTTGCTCCTTTTAACCTCCGCGATGCCATCTCAGCCCCCCTGACCGCTGTTTCCGCCTGCCCCTGCAGCTTCGAGACAGAGAATGGGCCTACACCATCGCCTGGCCGCAGCCCCCTGGACTCGCAGGCGAGCCCAGGCCTTGTGCTGCACGCTGGGGTGGCCGCCAGTCAGCGCCGCGAATCTTTCCTCTACCGCTCAGACAGCGACTATGACATGTCGCCCAAGACCATGTCCCGGAACTCGTCAGTCACCAGCGAGGCGTGAGCACTCCTTAATCCCACCTGCCAGCTCTTCCAGGCCTGGCTCTCTCACAAGCTGCCCTTCCTAGCAAGGAGGGGCACGCTGCCCAAGCCCCGAGACCTGTCCTCCCCAGAGAAGGATAAACAGCCCCCCTCCCCTTATAAAGGGCTTAGTCCCTTTATGGCATGTCCATCCAGTGAGTACCCGCCCTATCTCTGTCCCCTACCCAGTCACACTGAGCCCTTACCTCAGTTCCAGCCCCCACCCTTGTCCATGTAGTGCCCGCCCACCCAAACTACCCATTGGCTGCTGGGGCCTGGCCCGCTCTCAACCTGTGTCTCTGTCAAGGAGGGAGCACCTCCGGTTGAGCCCCTCCCCACCACTGCTTCCTCCCACAGTGCCCACCTCGGCTGCGCCTCCCTCCAGCCTTTCCTAAGCTAGCCTCCCTTATCATGACCACCACTGAGGCACGAGCATCCCCCAGACCTGCTCAGCGCCCCCCTCATTGGATCCTCTACCCTGCCCCTGCCCAGCAAGGTATCCACCTCACTGTCCCTCCCAGGCCCTTTCCTGCTTACGCCCTTCCCCACCCACTGCTCTCACCTGTATGTGAGAGGTATATGTGCTCTTCATCTCCCCACCACCCACCTGAGCCCTTCTCCCTGACCTCCGGTTCCTTCAGGCCTGGTCCCTGCAGTGTGTTCACTCTTGGGAGGTGTACGTGCCCTGCCCCTACTGCGTGGAGCGCCCTCCCTGGCTACCAGCCTCCTTGGGCCCCACCTCCACAGAGTGTGCGCCCTAGAAAGGTGCTTCTCTGGCACCCCACCCCCAGTCCACTCAGGTCCTTTGGCACCCTGCTGTGAAGACCCCTGACCTACCCCTGTCCTTGATTATAGGTATGCCGAGGACCTCATCGTGACGCCATTTGCCCAGGTGAGACCCCTCTCCTAAGGATCAAAGGGGCTCCAAACCTCCCCCACACTTGGGGAGAGGGGCCTAGCCCCAGCTACTCTCTCCTCACTGCTGCCCCTGGTCCTAGGTGCTGGCCAGTCTCCGGAGTGTTCGCAGCAACTTCTCACTCCTGACCAATGTGCCCATTCCCAGCAACAAGTAAGTCTAGGCTGGGCCCCAACGCCCATGATCACGAGGCTAAGTGTACCTGGGTTCCACTTTTGGCTCTGCTGTGTGACCTCAGGCGGGCACTTGATCTCTCCTGAGTCTCTGTTTGGGCGACAGCTCCCTCTTAGCCAGTAAGCCATCGCAATTCAAATGCCATGGCACAGAAGCTTTTATAAACAAAGATGGAGGTGTCCACATACAGGGTGATGAGGCCATAGGTGGCCAGCCACCCGCCACTCCTGCCTTCATACCAACTTGCTGCGCAGACAGCATCCTGAGGTGCCTCTATTCCTTCTCCATGAAATGGGAATTTAATAGCTCCTCCATTAGATGGCTGCTGTGAGGGGACCAGAGGATAATAATATAGAAAGTGCTCAAACATTGCCCAGCACATAGTAAGTGCTCATTAAATAGGTGTAGTTGTTATTTTGGGTCAGGGGTGTGGCTAAGAACTGCTGCTCCCTCTGGGAGTCAGGAAAGGATGGTCAAGGAAGCAGGAACCTTGGAAACAGAAGACCTGACCCTACTGCTAAGCAGCCACACAGCCTCCAAGGAAGCTGGCTCACCTCTTTGAGCCTTAGTTTCCATGTCTGTAAAATGGGTTATTGCAAAATTCTGTAAAAAAGTTCAATTAGAGTACATGACAGTATGCCCTGTAAACCACTAAAAAAAAAAAAAAAAAAATCAATACTATCTATGGAGGAAATTTTGCGGGGACCTGGGGGGCTGGCACTGGAGCCCCGTTTCATTTCAGGCGATCCCCACTGAGTGGGCCAACGCCGGTCTGCAAAGCCACGCTGTCAGGTAAATAAGCCCAGGGGTAGCCGAAAAGGGCCCCTATTACTGCCCCGAGGTGTTCCCTCACCCGGGGTCATCCCCTTTCCCAGCATCCCACTGGTTGACCCCGATTACCATGGGCCGGGGCCTCTGTGGGTCTGCCTAAGGATCCCCTCATTTGCCGCCCCTGCTGCCCCTTCTCCAGAGGAGACGTGTCAGCAGTTGGCCCGGGAGACGCTGGAGGAGCTCGACTGGTGTCTGGAGCAGCTAGAGACCATGCAGACCTACCGTTCAGTCAGCGAGATGGCGTCCCACAAGGTGTGCAGCCTCGGCCAGGAAGACAGGGCAGGGCATGGCAGGGCAGGGCCAGCCCCTGGACGGGGCCTGCGGGGTGGAACCAACTGCTGGGTGGAACCTGTGGGCGGAACCAGCCCTGGGATCGGGCCAATCCCTGGACAGGGTCTGCGGGGTGGGACCTTGGGGCGGGGCTGACAACAGGGTGGAGCCAGCGAGCAGGGCCAATACCAGGATAGGGCCTACAGTGTGCGGTCAGTCCCTGGGCGGGACCAACCCGTGGGCACAACTTCAGGACTTGTAGCTCCTATGGATTTTAACTTCTCCCAGGACCTAGGGAGCCTGGTGTGGGGAGTGTGTTTGTCTGGCTGTACATCTGTCCATACACAATCATCTTGCTTTGGGCGGTGTTGTGTGCTCGTTTGGTCTACGGGTGTGTGTATCTTTGACTGAGTCTGTGTGGCTGTCGATTTGTTGGCCACATTTTTGCAGCGCAGGGTTGGGTGTGTTCCATCCAGGAGGTTCTTTCAGGAGTGGCGTACAGATGTGTACCTATGGATCGTGTGTGGGTATGCACAGGCAATTATGCGGGGTTATGTGTGGGTCTGTGCTGGAGGGTGTGTATGTCTAGAAGGGTGAGTTGGTCCACACTTGTAGGGTGTATCTCCATGTATTTGTGACTCTGTGTGTGTGTGCGCGCGCACGTGTACTTGCAGGACAGCAGGGGAGGGTGCAAGGCTTCTATGTACAGCTGTGCAGATGGTGCACTGTGCAACTCCGGGGCCCATTCAGAAAGTAGGCAGTGGGAACGATGCTTCCTGGAGTTGCGGGGTTTGGTGGCAGCCCCCGTGGGAGGATGCATCTCAGGAAATGGATGTACAGGTGGGGCGTGTCTGTGTTGGGGGCGGTGTTTTGGCCTGTGGGTGGAAATTTGTATAGGAACTTACAAGTCTGAGGGCAACTGTGTCCCTGAGGGTGTGTTGAGCATCTGAGAATGTGACTGTCTCTCTGAATGTGAATCTGTGAGTGCGTGTCTGTGATGGGTGTGTATGTGAGTGTGTGCGTATTTCCTCCTGCATTTGTCAGGGTATGTTTGTGTCTAAGGCCACTTGGGTATTTGTGTTTGTTTGAAAGTGTATCTGAAGGTGTGTTGAGTATATGTTTATAAGTGTGTCCAGCATCAGAGTGTTTGTTCCTCCGTGTGTGTTTCCATGTCTAGGTGTGGGTCTGTGTTCTTGGAAAGGGTGCGTCTGCAGGCATTTGTGTCTCTGCGTACTCAGCTGTGTACCTATAAATGTATTGCACATCAGAATTGTGATGATGTGTGCATAGGGCTTAAAGCATCTGGGTATCTGTGTGTGTTCAAATGTGTCAAGTGTCTGGCTGTGTTAGTGTGGAAGGTGTGTCTCAGAGTGTTCGTATGTCTGTGAGTGCGGAGCGTCTGGGTGTGTATCTTTGTCTCTGGGTGTGTCCATGAAGGGGGAATGTCCTTGAGGGGGTGTGTACTCCTCTGCCTCTCCCAGCCCCACCTGGGTCCTGGCTGAGGTCTGTGGGCTCTGATGCCCCTTTAACGCCCCCCCACCCACGGCACCAGCTGACATCACATGCAGCCTGCCAGTGCTGCAGTGAGCACGCACACACAGGCGCACACACAGAGCCAGAGCCTCTGAAGCCGCCTCCTGGGACCCTCGCCCTTCTCCTCCATGGGCAGGGGTCCCTGGCCACCTCCAGCCACTGCTGTGGGGGGGCCCCCAGGGGCCAGGGGCTGGCAGACCATGTAACCAGGGCTGCCACCGGGAGCGCGGAGGGGAAGGGAGCCCCCAGCCCTGCTGGGCCGGCCCAGGCCCCTCCGCGGCTCCCCCTTCCACTGCCCACCCGCCCAGCACCCCACCCCCACCCCAGACGGTGGCTGTTAACCCCAGGACTCCCCAAGCTCAGCTTCTGTGTGTGGCAGCCCTGAGCAGGGCTAAGACTCCAAGATGCCCTTGGTGGATTTCTTCTGCGAGACCTGCTCCAAACCATGGCTGGTGGGCTGGTGGGACCAGGTAGGGGACCTCAGGGTGGGGTGGATGGGCAGGAGATCTGGCCTTGGCCCTCAGACCTCTGACCCTTCAACCCCTGGTCTGGAATTGTGTGTTCAGCTGTGCACGTGTATGGCCTGGAGGTGAATGCTTATGACTGTGGCTCTGTGTGTGGCCCAGGGCTGGGCACAAATGGTGGGTGGCTAGGGGTGTGGGTCTCTCTGGGCGTGACTGTCACTGCACACATGTGTGTGTCTGCAGTGGTATGGGGCCGCCTGTCTATGTGCTTGTTTGCCTGGGTCATGGCGCGGCCCTGTCTGGGCTCTTATGGCTCTGATTGTGGTGTTGTCTGTTGGACATCTTTGTGAGTGCAGAATGCGTGATTTTTCTGCGACATGTGATCCTGAGTATCAGTGACCACCTTGTTGTATGTGCCCCTTGACTTGCATGTCTGGGGCTGTGTGAACTGTGTACCATAGGAATCTGTGTCTGTGTGCTGTTTGTGACTTCGTGGGTCCATCTTGTGTGTGTAGGTGTTTCTCCCTCTCTCTATGGGCGCCCAAGGTCTCTGGGCAGCTCTGGGTGGAGCGAGTGCTCCGTCCGGAGTGGGCTCTCAGGCTCACCCTTCCTGCCCAGTGCCCCTCCTGCCTCTCTGGTCAGAGTCAGCTTCTGCTTTGGAGGTGCTTTGGCAGAGCTTGGGGGCAGGGAGCTGATGCCCTTTCTCCTTCTTGCACAATGTCACAGCAGATGCTGTGTGAAGTGGCATTAGGGGACCAGGAGGGACCCCCTAGCTGGGTTCTGAGTATACTCCATTTATCTGTGCATGTGGCCACCCCCTGAGGCTAAGAAAGAGGGGGCTATAATGGAAACCCCCTCCCCTGGGTGACCCAACTAGGGCTTCATCGGCTCACTATTTGCCACCTGCCCCAGCCAAACCTTTTCGTCACCCAGAACTTGGGAACTGTGTTTCCTTCTTCCAAACTGGGCTGGGTGCTGGGGACCAGGACCCCCAGGGCATGGTGTCAGTGCCTGGGGAGAGAGAGAGGCCAGCAGTAGCTCTGGGAAGGCAAGTGTTAAGGGGCCTGAGGCCTGCCCCCCTTTCCCCCAAGCTCAGCAGCTGGTTGGAGGGGGAGTTGCTAAGGAGACTCCCATCACCATGGCAATGGGATTCTCCTGATACTCCATTGGCTCCCTGTTAGTTAGGAGCCCCTCCCTTCCACAGGTGCTCCTCTGGCTCCTCCATGTGGGGGGAGAGTGTGAGAGTATGGGGAGGGGAGCCCCCCTTTCTCAGACAAGGAGGGATATGCTGGGTCCTGGCTCCCCAGGCCTGGAGACCCCCATCCAGAGCTCAGAGAAGGGGAGGGGCTGACCCCTCCCCTCTGGCAGCCTGCTGGCTCCCTTGGCTGAACAGAGAAGTGGGAGGGACTCCTGGGGTCTTCAGAAGTTTCTTGGGTGAGGCTGACTTCCCCTGTTTTCTGTGACCCCATTATTCCTTCCTTCCTTCTTGCCTCCCTCATCATAGTTCAAGAGGATGCTAAACCGTGAACTCACACACCTATCAGAGATGAGCAGGTCAGGAAACCAGGTCTCTGAGTACATCTCCACCACATTCCTGGGTGAGTGAAGGGCAGCCCGTGGCAGGCGTACACACCTGGGCTGGAGGGGCCCCTCCAGACCCCGGGTCACGTTGCCCACCTTTGCCCAGTGGACCTTGAATCTCAACTCTCCAAAGATCAAAGTCACCAGTTCAAGAGTTCCCATACTCATGATGCCCCCCAGTTCAGTGGGACCCCAACTTCTATAAGACCCCACATTAAAAAAATCTCTCTGAACTGAAAAGCTCTCCAAATTCAGTGGAAGCCCAGTGGTCTCTGAAACTCAAGAACCCCTCAAGACCCCAAACTCAAATAAAATTCCTAAATTTGAAAATGCCTTCAGGCTGCCCCGGCCAGGTGGCTCAGTTGGTTGGAGCGTCATCCCATATACCAAAAGGTTGGGGGTTCGATTCCTGGTCAGGGCACATGCGTAGATGGCTGGTTTGATCCCTGGTTGGGGCACATACAGGAGGTAACCAGTTGATGTTTCTTGTTTCTCTTGTGCATCGATGTTTCTCTTTCTCTCTCCCCCTTCCTCTCTCTCTGAAAATCAATAAGCATATCCTGGGGTGATGATTAAATAAATAAATAAGTGACTGGGAGAAAATGCCTCCAGGCTGAAAAGCCCCACAAAAGTCAGTAGAATCTGCAAACTTGTATTCTTCCCAAAATTCTTAAGGGCCCCTCAAAGTCAAGAGAGATGTCTAAACTCAGTGGGATTCTCAAACATAAGGGACCCTCTGCCCTGAATAATCCATAAAAGACCCTGAAACTTTAAAAAACCTCCAAACTGAAAAGTGCCCCAAATTCAATAGAATCCCCAAACTTTTATAACCCCCTCAAATTCAGATGATTCCCCAAACTTCAGGTGTCCCAACTCAATAGATTTCTCAAGCTTAAAAAGCCCCAAATTTAGGTGAATTTCCTAACTCAGTGGAACCCAAAGCTCATGAGGACCTCCAATTCATTCTAATCTCTGAACCCAAGAGCCCGAGCTGAGGATATTCCACACAAACTCAGGATAATTTCACCCTCACAATTTATCACCAAAGATCCTCAAAGTCAGGAGATTTACTCCTCCCCACAGTTTAAGAGAAGGTTCTGATTTTCAAAAGCTCCCTCCAGTGGGGGTGTGGTTGTCCAAATTCTGAGATCCAGCCAATGGGAGCACAGCATGCAAATGACCCCTGTTAGGCCCTGTCTCTGTGGGCCCCAGGTCACAATACCTGCCCTGGCTGGGCTCTGGAAGCCCTTGAAACCTCAGGAAAAGGGCTCCAGCATCTGGCTTCCAGGCCTGCTGGTGTTACAGGGTAGGGGGCAGGGTCCCTGGAGCCAGAGACCACCTGTCCCTCCCTCCTTCGAGCGTCTACCCCTACCAGCGTTCTCCGTCACCATGGAGGTGTCTTCAAGCCAGGGAAGGTTCGCTGCCTAACAGGGCAGGCAGTGGCTCTCCCTAGCATGCCCACCGTGGCTCCAGCTTCAGGCAGGCCTTAAAGTCACTACTGCAGCCCACCACCTCCCGGAAAAATTTCTACCTCCTCTCTGGGTTCCAGCCTATGAGTAACCAACAGCATGACACCCAGAAAGGGTCTGCCCTCCCGGGTGAGACTTCCCAAAGAGAATGGGATGGGGGCTGAGGACCAAATGAAGGAGTCTCCGAGGGGGACTCACGCTTGCTCTCTTCCGTCTTCTATAGACAAGCAGAATGAAGTGGAGATCCCATCGCCCATGATGAAGGATGGAGAAAAACAGCAAGCTCCCTGGCAAAGACCCTCCCAGCAGCCTCCACCCCCTGGGCCACAGTTTCAGCCCATGTCTCAGATCATGGGGGTGAAAAAGCTGATGCATAGCAGCAGCCTGACTGATTCCAGCGTACCCCGCTTTGGGGTGAAGACAGACCAAGAGGAGCTCCTGGCCCAAGTGGGTGGGGACTCAGGGGGTGCTGGGCTGGAGAGGGGCAGGGGTTTACTGGGGAAGGACTGGGTGTTAGGTTAGCCTGAGATGAGGATCAGGGTGTACAGGTCCCTCAGCTTTCTCGGAGCAGAGCGTTCCTATGCAACCTTTCGTAAACCCAAATGGCGTAAAATGAAGAGGCAGTTATCACTGACTTATGTCTTTATTTCGTTCATGATCCAAACAATTATGTCCAGTTTTACCCTAAGTGTAACACCCTTAGAGCTTTCTTAAGCTTTTCTGCTACCTTAGGACCCACCTTGCTAATGGATGCACAAAATAAATTTAGAGAAAGCACAGATGCTCACCGACACAGTCCACAGCACTGATGGCTGGGTGCTGAGGTGCAGAGTGCAGTTCCTGGGGGAGGAGCTTGGCAGGGCCGCCCTCACTGCCCAGGGTGCTGCTGCCTCTACAGCAGCTGTTGACAAACCAATGCTGAACGCTGTTGTCTGTGTTTGATTTTCACCTTTTTTTGTAAAAGCAAAACTCCTCTTTGGATTTCTGCCACTTAGCAAAAACAGGTACATGTATGAATGTCGGTCTTTCGTAAAAGCGAGAGGCATAATGTGAACTTTCTGCGACTCTCAGGAGCAGGAGAGGAAGGAGCTAAGCAAGGTGGTGGTCTTAGCTAGAGGCCGGCTGCAGCCTGACCCCACACAGACCTCGGGACTGTGAGCAGCACCGCGAGTTGAGCCTACCCTGAGGGAAGAGCGTTGGTCTCCGTGTCAGTCACTGGCTGGGAGCCATCCCCAGCGTGGATGGCAACATCCCCTTCATGTAGTTCCTTCAGGGACAAAAACAGTTTTCTGGAAAATGGGGCAGCTGTGAGCCTTAGACGCAGCAGCCCCAGCAGCTGGGGGATGGGCGCAGTGGCCAGTAAAGGGGGTCTGGGCAGAACCCCAACAGTGTGCACTGCAAGCCGGACCTGGGTTTGGCTCCTGGCTCTTCCGAGAGACCTTGAGCCAAGGGGCTCTAGCATTGATTTGTGCAATAGGTGTGATGTTCTCTCAGTGGCTTGCTCAGCTGACATGTACAGTAACCCTCCGCGAGCTGACGCTGGCGGCGCTACCCAGTGTTTATTGAGCACCTGCTACGTGCCGGCACTCTTCTGGATGTTGTGAAGACATGGAAAATTAGCCCATGTTTATTTCCTCCTGGTGCCCATGAGCAGCTTAGCTTGGAGGCTACAAGGTCTTGGTCGCTTCTCTGCCCCTGCCAAATGAGACCAAGCGCTTAGTGTGGTGCCTGGCAGATAATAAGCACTCAGCAGACAGTTGCCGTGGTTGCTTTGTTATTTCTCGGCCCAGTAGGACCTGGGCAGTAGATTCTGTGCTGCTGAGCCTGCCACCCACAGGGTAAGCAGTGATGGTGCCACCTGCAGACCAGAGCTCTGTAGGAAGGAGCCCAGAGGGCCCTGGGCCTTGCAGACTCCTGATCTCTGGCCTCCATCTCCTCCAGGAACTGGAGAACCTGAACAAGTGGGGCCTGAATATCTTTCACGTGTCAGATTATGCCGGGGGCCGTTCCCTCAGCTGCATCATGTACACCATATTCCAGGTAGGGCGGGCTGAGTGGAGCAGGGTGGGGGACAGTATGAGGGAGGGTCCAGAGTAGGGAGCTAAGGGCTAGCGGGGGTCACCACCCCTCCATACCTGCCCTCAGGAACGGGACCTGCTAAAGAAGTTTCACATCCCAGTGGACACAATGGTGACATATATGCTGACTCTGGAGGACCACTACCACCAGGATGTGGCCTACCACAACAGCCTGCACGCTGCCGATGTGCTGCAGTCCACCCACGTGCTGCTGGCCACACCTGCGCTGGACGTGAGCCCCGCCTGCTTGGCCCCTGCCCCACTGACCCCGTCTCTCTGACTAGCCGTCTCTGATCTCCTGTTGACCTCTCTGGCCCTGGGTCTCTGACCTCCACCTCTCTCCAACCCCATACCGCTCACTGATCCTTATCTTTTTCTCCTGACCCCCATCTTTTTTGACCCCCATCTCTCTTACCCTATCTCTCTGACTCCCCCAATCCTTCTAACTCCTGTGTCTCTCTGACCCTCTGTCTCTGCCTCCAGGCTGTATTCACAGACCTGGAGATTCTCGCAGCCCTCTTTGCTGCTGCCATCCACGACGTGGACCACCCTGGGGTCTCCAACCAGTTCCTCATCAACACCAGTGAGTGGCCCTCCAAGGGGGCGGGGCCTATCGGGATGGAGGTAGCCCTGTGGGACCTCCCGTCCCCTGACCCCTGCCCCGGCCTGGGCCGCAGATTCGGAACTGGCGCTCATGTACAACGACGAGTCGGTGCTGGAGAACCACCACCTGGCTGTGGGCTTCAAGCTATTGCAGGAGGACAACTGCGACATCTTCCAGAACCTCAGCAAACGCCAGCGGCAGAGCCTGCGCAAGATGGTCATCGACATGGTGGGTGGGCGGGGCAGGGACAGAGCAGAAAAGGTGGCCTTTGATGGGTCGTGCTTTGGGAAGGTCTGAGTTTGACATGGAAAGGCCTCTGGGGGAAGAGGCATCTTTTCATGGGACTTGTGGGGACAGGTTTAACCCCATGAAAACTTTAGAGGCTCTGGTTGGTCCAGTGGTCTGGTGGCAGAGCTTCAGTGGCCCCTCTGATGGCCCCCTTGCCCACAGGTGCTGGCCACAGACATGTCCAAGCATATGACCCTCCTAGCTGACCTGAAGACCATGGTAGAAACCAAGAAAGTAACCAGCTCAGGGGTCCTTCTGCTGGACAACTACTCTGACCGCATCCAGGTGCTCCCTTTGTGCATCGTATAAGAAGACTGGTCTCCTCCCTTCCCCTTCACCCTCAGACCTGGGTTCCTGCCCCTCTGTCAGCCTCTAGCTCCCCTCTTGCCCATCTTCCTATTTTCCTTTCTCTCCTCTTTCACCTTCCCATTGCCCCTCACCTCCAACCGCCTCCCCCAATTCTTCCTTTCATCAACCCCTCCCTTCCCCTCTTCCCCACCACCTCCTCCACTTTTCCCTCCCCTCTCCCCCTATTTCCTCCACCTCTCCACTTCCTTCACACCTCTCTCCCTCTACCTCCTCTTTTTCCTCCTTCCGCCTGCCCTTTCCTCCATCAACCCTTTCTTACTTCCTCCCTCCTCTCTCCCACTTACTCCCTCTTTATTCCTCTGTCTCTCTTCATCTCCCCCCACCCCTCCTCCCCACTCCCCTCCCCACGGGGGGAAGGTAAGGAAGCCTGAGGCCACAGGCTGAGATGGGAGCATGGCCTCTGAAGGTCCCGTGCCCTGTGCAGGTCCTGAGGAACATGGTGCACTGTGCGGACCTCAGCAACCCCACCAAGCCGCTCGAGCTGTACCGCCAGTGGACAGACCGCATCATGGCTGAGTTCTTCCAGCAGGGCGACCGTGAACGTGAACGTGGCATGGAGATCAGCCCCATGTGTGACAAGCACACGGCCTCCGTGGAGAAGTCTCAGGTACAGTTTCAGGGCACCAGCCTCCCATCCCATCCTGGCCTGGGGCTTCGAGGCCCAGAAGGTCCTGGGCTGCCCCTCTGCAGTATCAAGCCTCAGTTTGTTTTTCCCTCCTCTGTCTGATGGGGAATATGCAACATTTTCTTCTCCACAGAACAACTAAACTGAGCCTTGGGCACACAGACTTCATTCAGACAGTTCTAACTCATTTGCAGCAACCGCTGTAGTGCAATGATAATACTTAGCTGGACTTCAGTTACAGACCTTATGTTGGCTCAGCCTATTTCCAATGTCCTAACCTGGCCAGTGACATGGTCCCTGATTTTCAGAGGATTTCAAGATGAGATGAATTGACCTGTCTTCATCGTGTGTCTGATTAATTAACAAAGAGGGACAGGAACACAGTCTCCTAAAAGACTCAACTCTGAAGTGTGAATGTAAGAGTTTGTCACACTCCCCACTTCTGGTCTCCTCCCAGGGAGACTCACCTTTCCCAGTTCGGTGTCTGTGCCCTCGCAGGCCAGCCTCGGGGTTTCCCAGCCTTAGCTCTGTTGGCAGTTGGGGCCAGCTCACTCTCTGTTGCGGGGCCATCGTGTGCACTGTATGATGCTGAGCGGCATCCTTGGCCTCCACCCACCAGATGCCAGGAGCGCCCTCCTCTTCCAGGCAGAACATTCAGGTGTCTCCTGGGCCTGCACATCACCCTCAACTCTGATGAAAACCAGTTTCATAGTTTTATTATGTAGTTATTTTCACAGGCAACTTAACTTTTAGCTTTTTTTAAAAAAGGACTTTATTTATTTATTTTCAGGGCGAGGGGAAGGGAGGAAGAAAGAAAAGGAAACACTGATATGTGATTGGTTGCCTCTTGCATACCCCCAACTGGGGACCTGGCCCACAACTCAGGCACATGCCCTGACTGAGAATCGAACTGGTGACCTTTCAGTTTGCAGGCCAGCATTCAATCCACTGAGACACAACAGCCAGGGCTAGCTTTTTTAAGAATATAAATTGTATGAATATATACCCATTTTATACAGCTTGCCTTTTCAACAATGACGGAGATCTGTCCAAGCAAGCTATTACAACAGATTTACCACACCCACAGATATAGAAAGATAATGGTTGTGTAGCCATCTCCCTGCTGATAGTCATTTAAGTGTTAAGGAGTTAGAAATTCACAATGACTTTGCCCTGGTTGGATAGCTCAGTTGGTTAGAGAATCACCTTGATACATCAGGGTTATGGGTTTGATCCCCAGTTAGGGTGCATACGAGATTCAACCAATGAATGCACAAACAAGTGGGACAATAAATCGATGTTTCTCTCTCCCTCCCTTCTCCCTTCCTTCCTATGACTCGAAAGATCAATTTAAAAAAGTGAAATTCACAGTGACTCAAACAAAATAAAGCTTTTTTCCCCTTTATATAAGAAAAGCCTAGAGAAAGGGAACTTGGCTCTCTGTGGGTCCACGAAATTGGCAGGCACGCGGAGCTTTCAGCGTTTCTCTTCTATCCTCTGAAGAATGGGGCTTCTGTCCCCAGAAATGCCTCTCATGGTCACAGACACTGTCGAAGCCCCAGCCATTCTGGCTGCATTCCAGGGAAGAAAGCCCTTGCCAGCTGATGCAGCGCCCAGCATCTTCCATCTACAGGTGGTCTCAAGACTACCCTCTCTTTGCAAGGGAGACTGGGAAATGTAGTTTTCAGCTGGAGGCATTGTGTCCCCCAAGGAAAAAAAAAATAAAGATTCTGTCCATAAAAAGTAGGGAAGATGATATCAGGGTGTTAGCGTGCCATGAAGTTATTTCTAGTTTCGCTTTGTTGCAAAAAATGCCATAGTGAATATCTGGGAACCACATTTTTAAAAAGTCCCCCACTGATGTGTACATATATGGAAGTGTTTCCAGTTTTTGTTTACGTCTCATGTGATCCTTTTTTGTTATTTAGACAAGAATTTTTCCAGGGTAGATCTGGAGAAGCAAGATTGCTGAGTCAAATGATATCAGCATCTTTTAAATTTTATCAGATCCCTCTCTGACCAGTGTGGCTTGGTTAGTTGTGTGACCAGTGTCGTCCTGCAAAGTGAAAGGTGACCAGTTTGATTCCTGATCAGGGCACATGTCTGGCTTGCGGCCCAGTCCCCAATTGGGGTGCATGAGAGAGGCAACCAGTCAGTGTTTCTCTCACACATCAATGTTTCTCTTCCTTCCTCTCTCTCTCAGAATAAATGAATAAAATCTTTCAATTCCATTAGATCCCCCAGCATGGCAGTCCCGTCTGTACCCATGAGCCACCAGTTCATTATGCCTTCTTCTCCCTCCCCCAGGTGGGCTTCATTGACTATATTGTGCACCCACTGTGGGAGACATGGGCTGACTTGGTCCACCCAGATGCCCAGGAGATCTTGGACACGTTGGAAGATAACCGGGACTGGTACTACAGTGCCATTCGGCAGAGCCCGTCGCCACCACCCGAGGAGGAGCCCGAGGGGCCAGACCACCCACTTCCACCTGATAAGTTCCAGTTTGAGCTGACACTGGAAGAGGAAGAGGAGGAGGCGCCCTCTGCCCTGGGTGCAATTGAGGTGCAGGAATTATTCGTGGCCCAGGATGCATCCCCAGCTGAGGAACTGGTGGAGGTCGATGGCCAGGACGTGTCCACAGAGGTGGAGGTAGATGAAATGTCCTTGATACAGCAAGCAGACAGTGTGGCTGCGGGCCAGGATGAGTCCACGTCCCCAGATGCATCTGTGGATGCCGTGGGCAGCAGCAGCCCCCCTGCCCTGTCTCCTGAGAGCCCCACTCTGCCTGCCTTGAGGACCCCACCCACCCCAGAGGAGGCCCCGGGCCTCCTGGGCCTCCCCTCTATGGCAGCCGAGGTGGGGGCCCAGAAAGAGCATCAGGCTGCCAAGAGGGCATGCTGTGCCTGCACGGGGACATCGGGCGAGGACGCCCCCGCACTCCCAGCCCCTGGCGGGTGGGGGTCTGCCGGAGGCCCCACCTGAGCCCCAACCCCTGCACCCTTTTGCCCTCCCTGCCCCCTTTCACCATCATCATCCCCCAACTGCCTCCTTCACTGCCTCAAAGACTCTTGGGCCTCCTAAGAAAAAAGAAAACAGAAAAGTGGGTTTTTTTCTCTTTTCTTTTTTTCCCCTCTCCCCCCACCCCCAGCCCCACCCACGAGGCCGCTTTTTGGAGGTGGGGCCTGGGGAAGGAGGGGCTGAGGTCCTGGAAGGGGTTTTATTTTTGGAATTTTCATTGTTACATTTTTAGAAAAAAAAAGAAAAAAAGAAAAAAAAAACCAGGATGAAACACAGCAACTGTAGATGCTCCTGTTCCCGGCTCCCCTGGTCCATCTCCTGCCCCTCCCCCACCCCTCCCAGGCCCCAGGCTCAGTCTTCCAGCCTCTTTGGGCTCTCCACCTGGGCCCAAGCTGGCGTAAGGTCTCCTTCCAGGCTCTCCTGAACTTTGGAGGGCTTCTAGAATCCAGCCAGGAATAGCCATTCTGGGCAGTGGCCCGGTATGGGGGAGTCACTGTGAGCGGCCCCAGCTCTAGCCCCTCTCAGGCTCACTGCCCACCCCCTCCAGAAGTCTTCCGCCTCATTTTGCACAAACCTGGCAATACCGACTCGGAAGGGCATGGGCATTGTGTACAACTTAGGTTGCTGGGAGGAGAGGGTGTTGCAGGGACGATCACACCACCAGCCTGGGGTCTGAGATTGGAGGAGGGCTGATCTCCCTCTGCTTGCCACCCCTTTCCCCTTCCACTTCGGATTTCATTTGAATTTTCTCCATTTGAGGGGCAGCTCTGAGCTGCACCCTCTTCTTCCAGCTGCTTCTCCTCTTGTTTCTGCCTTAATGATTCCCACGGCCATAGGAGAGGGTTGCAGTGGCTCCCACCTGCACCTTGGGTGGGGCGGGGCCAGGCCCAAAGCCCCCATCCTAGGCATCCCCCAGCATCTTCCTGCCACCGTCCCCAACCCTTCGCCCTAGGAGGAAGCAATAATGGTGTACACCTACATTTCCTTTCTGGGCGTCTCTTCTCACCCTGGCACCAAAGTCATTTCTCCTTTGTCCCACCTTGCTAAGCCTCCCCCTCTTCCCCTAACTATCCCCCCCACCCGCACCCTGAGCAATATGACAGACAGATGCAAGACCATTTTTCTCCAAGCCATGGGGGACTGTTTGGAAGGAAAGACCCCCTGTTCCCACTCCCCTATGCCCTTTGGCCTGGCTCTGCGGTTGGGCAGGGCAGGGCCTGTCTCGTTGCCCCCACCCCTCCAATTCTGAGCACACAGTACTGTAGCCTCCTCTTCCCCCAGCCTCCCATCTGCCATCCCTCCGGGGAGTAGCACTCTCTCCCACCCTCATGATACTGTACAGGGTTCATTTTTGTAGCAAAAGTAGTTCCTGTCCTAGCTGGCAACCAGGGTGGGCCTTTTTTTGTTCTTTCTTTTTTTTTTTCTTTCTTCGGTTTTTTGTTTTGTTTTGTTTTGTTTTTGTACATACTGTAAGGTTTGTTTGTAAATTATTCTACAGAGGCAAAAAGGGAAAATACACTTGCCCATCCCTGACTGACCCAGTCAAGGGAAGGAAGGGTGGGGATCTCCCAGAGGGAGAATCCCTATTCCTGCTGTATTATACAAACTGTACCATAGACCCCAAAAGGGTGGGCTCAGCGCTGTTGTTTGATGGGGAGTTAGTTCATCTGGGGGTGAGGGCTGAGTATAGCCTGTCCCAGGGCGGGTGGGGCTGGCTACAATTGATGGACCATCCCTCCCCAAATCAGGGCTCCTCTCTCCAGGGGGGTTACAGAGGACCCCTCGAGTATTGTCCACTTTGACGATCAATCAGTCAGTCCATTGATCGATAATCAATCCTTCGATCTTGTCTCCAATTAAACCAAGGCTTTCACCGATCTTCCTGGCTTATGTGGCTTTCTTTCCCACCCTTGTTCTTGAGGTGCGTCTTCTCTGCACTGTCGGCCTGGGGTGGAAGGTGAGGGAAGGGGAGGCTCTGACCCTATCCCTCCTCCGGTAGATGGAAGCTGAGGGGGTTGCAGGGAGCTTGGGGGAAAGCAGCTCCAAGATGCAGACCAGGTCCTGGCATGGGGCCTCCAGGTTGTAAAATAAAGGTCGGGCCCATGCAATCGATGGAGGCCAGCAGACCCAGGTAACCTTGCTTCTCCTGCGTAGAACATATCTGACACAACTCTTGGGTTCTTCTGGAATCTCAAAGTCACCCCTGGAAACCTCCAGGAGGCCTGATTGACACCTTCACCATCTGGCTGCCTGGTCATGATAAAAAGCCTCGGGTCAAATTCTGCCGTGTAGACATTAAACATGATATGCAGGCACAAAAGAATTTACACCCGTAAGTCCTATGAATTCCCAGCATTCATCCATGTTGGTATTGCAACCTTCACGTTCCATGAGAACAAAACCAAGAAACAAACCTGAGTATTTTAAAGGCAGGATTCTGTGTTGCTTTGGGCCTGTAAGTCTTCCTTTGGGTTTCAGGCAAGCTGAATACTCCAAATTAATGGCTGGACACAAAACAGGCTCGGGTTAGAAACTCTGCTTCCTAACTTGTACATACAAGGTTGGGGAGTGAGCGAGGCTCATATTTTAACCAATTCACGTACTCTAATAGTGTTAATTCCACCCATGGGAACCCCTTTTCCAAACTTTATCAGGCTGATTAACCTGATTTCACCAAACAGTGCTGACATTCTTTATACTAATGAGCAAAACGTCCCAGGTGGATAGAGCTATGGATAGCAGAAGTGTTTGTGAGGTGGGCTTTTGGATTAGAATACTGTCTGCCTCTGGGGTGTAATAAACAGATACACACATACACACACCGTGTTTGGCACTGTGGGATTAGTAGATGTATATATTACAGCATATGTGTTCTGAAACAAAATGAGGGCAGCTTCCTTGCATCTAGGAAAGGTTGACCCACCTACTTACTCTGCCATCTGCCACTAGTACCAGGGACTAGTTTGAATCCCAGCTATAGGTAATGTCTCCTTGGGTGTGATCTCTCTGACCTTCAGTTACCTCATCTGTAAAACGGGACAAAAATCTCAGACTTACAGGGTCAGCCTGGAGCAGGGCTGTCCAGTGAAACTTTCTGTGATGATGGAAATGTCCTACATCTGTGCTATCAGCACAGTAACCACTAGCCGCGTGTCGCTATTAAGCACTTGAAATGTGGCTACTGCAGCTGAGGAACTGAGTTTAATCTTCCTTTATGTTAAGTAGCCACACATAGCCAATGGCTGCTGTATGAGGCTGCACAGTTCTGGAACTTAAATGAGAGAGTGAAGGTAGAGGATTAAGTGCATACAAAGGTTCGCCAGCTTGACTGTGGTTTAATGATTCACGGTAGATATCGTGGCCCAGAGGAGAGGAAGCAGCCAGCACCCAGAGAGGAGAAGTGAAGCTGGAAAACTAGCTAGAAGTTTCCAGGGAATCTGAACTTCGTGCAAGAAGCAAAGAGGAGACACAGCTCTTTCCCCCAGGGCATTTCAAAGGGAGGCAGAGTCGGAGAGAGAGTATTTGGGCTGGGGGCAGGTGGCAACAGTACTAACCTCAGGGTGCCAGGGGTGGCCAGTTGAGTCCGGTTTAGCCTTCTTACTCCAGGCTTCAGTTTCCCTGAGTATAAAAGGGCAGGCGTGATGTCCCAAATGCCTCCTGTGTTGGGACAAAGTTGACAGGCTCAGAATGTGGATCAAAGGGTGGAGGTGACATGTGACCATCACTGGCTCTTTAAAATCCTCCTGGTGGGGAGTTCATTTTTGCTCAGGCAAAGGTGACTAAGGGCTGGGAGGCCTTGTAACCTGACCAGGACTGGGGATACTGGGGGAGGGGTGGAGGCAGTTAATCCTCTGAAGTTGACATCAGCCACTTACAGGCTACCTGGTCTTCAGCAAATGGCTCCACTTCTCCCAGCCTTTCCAGGGCACTGAACTCATTAGAAGGATTATTTTATTCACTCTCCAGCAATCCTTGAGGTATGTTCTAGTATAGGCTCTATGTTTCAGATGAGGAAACTAAGGCCAAGTAGTGATCTCGCAGCACTGGGAAAATTCAGGGAAATGAGGCCAGGATCTCACTTCACCAAGTGCCTGTTCTACAATAATAGCTACCAAATATTTTTTTGTATTCTTACCGCTCTGTTATTTCATGTGCACAAAATCTTGAGATGTGGGTAATGTTTTTTCCTCTTTCACAGCATAAAAATGTAAGGAAGTACAAATAAAAAGCACTTTTTTTCTTTTTTATCTATTGGCAAATAACGAATATATGAACTATTTTGAAGTGAGCAAAACACTTTTCATAGCAGAAGCTGGCACCCAGCTTTCCAGGAGTAGTCTGACAATATTTATCAAAAATTTAACAACTGTGGCCCTGACCAGGTGGCTCAGTTGGCTGGAGCATTGTCTTGTGTACCAAACGGTTATGGGTTTGATTCCTGTTCAGGGCACATACCTAGGTTGGGGGTTCGATCCCCAGTCGGGGCATGTATAGGAGGCAATCCATCAATGTTCCTCTCTCACATCGATGTTTTGCACTCTCTCCCTTCCTCTCTCTCTAAAATCAATTTTTAAAAAATCCTCAGATGAGGATTAAAAAAATATTTTAAAAAATTTTTTAATTAAAAAAATATAGCAACTGTGCATGCATTTTGACCCAGCCATTGCAGTTGGATGTAAACCTTAAGATGCAGGTACAAAATGACGATTCTAGTGTTAATCAGAATATGAAAAATTATTAAAGACCCAGATGTCCAACCTAGGGATTCATTATATTATGCCTCACCTGCACAATGGAATAATATGCAGTCATTACAAATGAACTGAGTCTACATTAAAATGACAAAATGTTTGCAATGAGAAGGACAGGTTTCTAAATGTTCTGCATTATATGATCCTACTTAAAAACAATATATGCATCGAAAAGGCAACTTCTCTGTCCAAATATTAACAGTTCTCCAGTGGTGGGATTAAAAGAGATCTGTGTTTTCTGTTCTGTATTCTTCGATATTTTCTGAATTTTAGCAGTGAGCATGTATTACTTTTATAATCAAGGGAAAATTTATTCATAATCATAAGAAAGAAAGAACAGCCAGCAGTTGTTATCTGGGAGCCACAAAAGCATGGTAGATAAGCACACAAGCTCTGGATTCAGCTTACCTGGGTTCTTCCAGTTAAGGATTGGGTTAGTCTGAGCAGGTTACTTACCAGCTCTGTACCTCAGTTTCCCTCATTGTAAAATGAAAATATATAATAGCCCTAGTTTACCAGGTGATTTCTATGTGCCAGGCACTTAATTCTCACAAGAGCCTATAAAGGAGATACTATTATTATAAAATAGGTCATAGACCTTTCCTAAGATTCCTGCCTGCAAGAAAGAGAAAAACCTCAAGACAAAGAGCCCAGCACCATTCCCTTTCTTTTCTTCTCCCCCGTCCCCACTTCTTTCTCTGCAGGCATGAGTCTCCTAAACTCTAAGGCTGTGAGCAACTGGCAGCCTGTCTCAGGCTAACCCCCAGAACCTGTCCCCAAAGCCCCCTTTTCTCTGACTTCCCAGTGAACTAGGCAGTGCAGCCTAGGCTCTTCTGTTGCTTCTTTTATGCTAAGCCCTTCCTTGTTTTACTGTCCTCAGCTTTAATAAATGTATCCTCATAGTCAAGAAATAAAATAAAATGGGTCATCGGCAAAAGTTGCCAACCTATGGGAAGGGGAGGCTCCAGCGCCCCTAAAGTAAGGCTGAGGAACTACAACAGGACCAATAAGTTGCCCCGGCGCAGGCGCAGACCGGGTAGGAGGCGTGGCGAGGGCAAGTAGGAGATTTTTCCCAGCACTATGATTGGTGGGCCTCTGAGGGCGGGAGCCTTCGCCTTTAAGCACGGGGACTCCGTAGCGGAAGGCCTCCTACCGCAGGTGAGAGAACTCGGGCAGTTGAGGTTACTTGGTGTCACTCCTTTCCTCAGAGTGAGCCCAGTGTCGTTCCCACTTTCTTAGGGGGACCCGAACGTTGTCTGCCTTTCCTACCAGTACCCTGGTATCATTCCCCACTTCTTAAAGGTAACACTTGACGTCACCTCTTTTTACTGAGGGTGACCCATCATGAGCCGTCCACTTTCCCCAAGGAAGACCCCAGCCTCCTCTCTTCCTCCTAAAGTGAACCCTAGCAGCGTCCCTTCCTCCAAATAGTGACGTCAGCGTCGTCTCCATTTCCTTAGGGCACCCTGGCCTCGATCGCCCTTCCTGAGGGGGCCCTGGTCTTAGTTCCCCTCCTGTGAGGCCCCAGCATCCTTCCTGAGGGAAACTCTGTTTTCACCACCACTTCCTGAGGTGTCCCCTCCCTCGTCTTTCTCTCTTCCTAAGTGGACCCCAGCTCATACCTGCTTCCTCAAGAGTCCCCAATATTGTTCCTCCTTCCTGAGAAACAGACTGACACTGTCCCCCACGTTCCTGATGGTTTCCTATCATGTCCATCCCCACACCCTGAAAGGACCCACCATCTCCCTTTTCTCTGAGGTGCACGCCTGCCAGGGCTTCAATAATTTGCATGCATAGGAGAAGTCCCGAAGCCCCCTCTTGCACTCCCTTCCCCAGCTGGGGAGATGGGAAAGCAAAACTCAGGTCACCTTCAAAGTGTTGGCAGGCTGAGGGCTGGAGTCAGGAGTGAAACTAGCTGATAAAGGAACTCACTGTGTTACATGAGAAATCATTTAAGGAACTGGGGCTGTTTCTCCTAAAATGAAAACTACAGGAAGGGTCTCAGGCTGCCTTAAAATATTTATCCAGTGCTTCTCACAGTTTTTGACATTAGGTACTTATTGAGTGATTGGAAATGTGTGGAACTATCACCTGGAGCAGGGATTACTTTGTTCCATGAAGTCTTAAGAGATCTGATGGTAACAGTTAGAGGGAGGTCAAAACAGCTTTTTTGTATTGAACTGCAATCCTAATGGCTGAGTGCTTTACTGCTGCGCAGAGCTGGCGAAATCCACATCGGAGAAGCATCTGGGAGTTTTGGCCAGTTTCATTCAATCCCGAAAATGTTTCTAGTACATCCATTGTGACCAAAAATTCATCAACTTAACATTCCAATACGTGTGAAGCTTATTGTGTGCCAGTAAATAAAATGGTGAACAAGGCAGAAAATAGAAGAATAATTATGAGTACGAGGCAGACAAATGCATCATGACTTCTGCAAGTTACTTTTTCCTAGACCACTTTGTCAGGCTTTCTGGTTGTATGTTAATGATATGCAAATATCTGTGTACTTAGTTGGCTGTTGGCTGCCGGAGGGCAAACACCCTGTCTTCTGCTCCCAATTGTCTCTACACTGTGCCTGGGTCAAGGTAGACACTGAAGTATTTGTTGTTCCTGCCCTAACTCATCACTTGGTGAATCCCTAGAGGAACTGGGAGATGGCCAGGGAAGGTGAAATATGAAAATTAAGAGGAAGACAAAGCCCTAGAGATAAAAAAGACCCCACATGCAAAAGGTGAGACTTAAGAAAGAAGCATCAACTCCTTGGCTGATGCAATTAATCTTTCCTGATCCTGAAGCTGAGAACAAGTGAAGGCAAAAAGGCAGCCAAAGGCAGCATCAGGCTGCTGTTTAAAATTTCCCACCAAAGTTGTCTTGATCAGCTGATTAAATCCCGGAGGAGCCTGGGACACGTAGTCAGAAAAGTGTTCCTGCGCACCCTGCTTTAACTGTGGCATAATAAAATCTAAGTTACAACCCTGAGGTGTGGATGGAGTCCTTTAAATAGGGAGCTTCCAGGATGCATGTGCAGTTGTATTTGATTTATAAAAAATATCATTTGCCCAAAAGTTTTGAAGAATTGCTCATTTAAAAACTAAGAACAACTCAAGGTCAAGGGCATTCTACAAACTGTGACCCATCCAATCTTGTTCCTTTTCTAACTTTCTTTCTCTGGAAATAGTTCCTCTTTTCACAGAAGCCCACAAGAGGGTGCTGCATTCTTTTTAGACCTAACTTCCTGTATCTGCCCTGAGGATCACAGGGAGCTACAAAACCATCATAAAATAAGACAGGTGGGTTGGTGGAGTACTGATTTTTCACCAGTGATGAGAGCCAGTGAGTAACTGAACGTAACGCATGTAAAGTGCTCTGAGGACATGAAATGCTATCTTTATCAGTGTTGCTTTAACAATTGTGATAAATCAGATTAATGTTAGCATCTTAGGTTTCCACCTCATTCCTAGTCAATAACACTACATTTATTGTATTCTTACTGTATTGGCCAGGTGCTAGGTACAGTTATTATCACCATTTCACAGATGAGGACAGTGGGGCACAGGAAAGATTTGCACTAAGTGCTAGATACGGATCTCAACCCTAAATCTGTTGACTTATTTTTTTAAAGTCTGTTGTAGTATTTTTTATTTTCTTAAATTCTATCTTCTGCAATACATATTTTCACTAACATTTATATTTTAAAACCAGAATACACTCCCAAAGCAGAAGATATCATTGACTCCAAGACACAATGTATTGTACAAGCAAGGGACTCTATACACAGAACTACAGCGCCTTTTAATGAGCTGAAAGCTCTATAAAACAACATCCAGTTCATTGAGATGGGGAGTTACTTGCTCACCATCACCATGAGTCCATCCTGTCTTTCATCTTCATTATCTTTTTGTATACTGGAATTTCCCC